CCACTACTACTTCCACTACTACTGCTTCTACTACTACTACTACTACTACTACTAGTACTAGTACTACTACTACTACTACTACTACTACTACTACTACTAGTACTATTATTATTAGTATTATTATTATTATTACTACTACTACTACCACTACTACTTCTTCTACTACTACTACTACTACTACTACTACTACTACTCCTACTCCTGCTACTCCTACTACTCCTTCTACTCGTCCTACTCCTACTACTCCTGCTACTCCTACTACTCGTACTACTCCTACCACTACTACTTCCACTACTACTGCTACTACTACTACTACTACTACTACTACTACTGCTCCTGCTGCCTACTGCTGCTGCTGCTACTGCGATTGCTACAGCTACAGCCACATCTACAGCTAGTGCTACTGCTGCCTACTGCCACTGCTACTGCTACTTCTACTGCTACTGTTGCTACTTCTCCCACTTCTATTCCTACTCCTATTCCTGCTACCCTAAAGCTCCTACTGTTTGCTAGTTTTTCTGTCCCATGCTTAAGCTCAGGGTTGTTCTAGCTCAAGCAAAGGCATCTAACATTGGCATCGATCAAGCCTAGTTCCTCCATGCGGACGTGGCCCTGTCAAGTTCTTCAGAAATCCACAAGATCCCAGATCCCGTATCTTGAGTTGAACCTTTTAATTCCCGGATGCTTCAAAAATTGCCCGGAGTTCCAGATCCTTGCCTTCAGCCCAACACCGGAGCCTCCACGTGCAGGAGCACCCCGATGCGCCGATGCCCAAAGCGCCGCTGCGTGGCTCGGTTACAGCCCGGAGTCCGGATAGTGACATGACATAACAGTGGTGCTGACGGGCGATGGTGGTGATATTGCTTGTAACATCGACAATGACGATGTTGTGCTAGGATTGATGATGTTGTTGTTGACGATGATGGTTATAATATGTTATGATGGTCATGAACAGGGTCATGGTGATGATGACGGCAACGGTTGTAACCAGGAGAATGGTAATGTCGATGCTTATGAATGCATAGATGAAAATAGCGTTGGTGATGAAGACGACTGCTGTGTTGGCGATCACGATGATGCAATTCGTAATCATGTTGAAAACCTGAACTGGCACTGCTGTCAGCAAGAGCAGCAGGGAAGGGCTTATGAGAGTACGGTGCTAGCACGAAGAGGATTGTCCAAGACTGATGACGGGTGGGTGGCCATGCCGATTGTCGCTCGGCATGAAGGCGAGGTAGTAAGATTATTTAGAAAGGCCAAACCGTTTGGACAGTTCTTAGATACTCAAAGTCTCGAAGTCTTTCGGCCAATGTAGGACAGTAAGCATGGAATCGTCAGTCGATGCTTTGCTGGCCCAGGTGCGTTCAGGTACACCACGGCGGGAGGAGGTGCGTCTGCGCTGGATAGGGCCAGGGGCTCAAGGCAATGTGCCGTGTAGAGTTCGAAGTCTTGGGTTTGGGTCGGGTCTGTGCTGCGGCTTTGGGTTTTTTTCTGGTTCATGTTATTGCCAGGGTTTAGGGTTTAGGGTTTAGGGTTTAGGGTGCCTGCCTCACATTTGGCAAGATGTCAGATTCGACTGCAAAGCGAACCCAGGTAAATTTGAGGCTCCATGCCTCAAACCTTAAAAAACGGGACCTGAGTACTCAGAGAAGTTATTCTCGAACCTTCAAGCATAGAGTACACAAATTCCTAGAACTAAGTTCTAGTTGTTCAGGCTTTACAACCAAGCCGACTACTCCAGGGCAAGCCCCACCTGCGGGAGTTGAGCGGTCGGGTTGATCTAAATGTGAGATACCAGAGACAACCTAGCATGGATCAAGCAAGAACACCCCGGAAAATTGACACCTGGACCTTTTGCATGCTGAGCGTGCGAAGCTTCAACGCGAAACTCTGTAAACCAAACGCAAGAAAAGCTACACACAACTGGCCTGCACCTCCTAAATGCCAAAACCCACAACGCAAATCCCCGGATCCAGAATCGAAAGCATTCGGAACTACAACACTCCAAGCCTCAAGCCCTAAACCCCAAGCCC